GTGCCCCCCGCCAGAAAGAGACAGAGAGAAAAAAAAAAAAAAAAAAGAAATCACACCCCTCGCCCAGGGGGAGATGGTCATGCTGCAATCCCTTTTCCTCCATTCTCCTCTTGGGATCTTGGACACGCACACACACATGCCCAGCGTGAGTTTAAGTCACCGGGTCTGGGACTCAGACCGTGGTCAACTACGTGGGAGTTCAGTGACATAGCCATTATGCCAACTGCTGGTCCCAGTATATGTATATTTTTTATGATGGACACTTAAGTTGAGTCCATATCTTGACTATTTTGAGTGATGGTATAATTAACCTGAGAGTGCAGATATCCCTTTGACATACATATTAGGTATCTTTTGGGTATGTACTTAGTGATACAATTACTGAATCATATGGTAGTTCTAGTTTTAAGTTTTTGAAGACTCTCCATCTGTTTTCTCTAGTGATTGCACCATTTCACACTTTAAGGGTTCCGATTTTTCTACATCTAGACCAACATTTGTTATCTTTTGTCTTTTTATAATAGCCATTCTAACAGGTGTGATAGGACATCTCATGGTTTGATTTGTGTTTCCTTGATGATTAGTGATGTTGAACATTTTTTTCATATACTTCTTGGACATTTGTATTTCTTTTGAGAAATGGCTCATCAGGTCCTTTGCCTATTTTTAAATCAGATTATTTGTTCCTCAGTATTGATCTGTTTGATTTCTTTATATATTTTGATATTAACACCTTATCAGATGTATAGTTTGCAGATAAATTCTTCCATTCCATAAGTCATCTCTCCACTCTGTTGTTTATGCCCTTTGCTGTGTAGAATGTTTTTAGTTTGATTAAATTAATTTGACTGTTTTTGCTTTGAGGGTAATATCCAAAAAATATTTGCACAGATCAGTGTCATTACCTTTTTCCTTATGTTTTCTTCAAGGAGTTTTACAATTTCAGGTCTTACATGTACGTCTTTAATCCATTTAGGGTTGATTTTTGTATACTGAGTTAGACGAGGTTCTAAATTCATTCTTTTGCACATGGATATCCAGTCTCCTAACACCGTTTAATTAAGAGACTGTCTTTTCCCAATTGGGTGTTCTTGGCATTTTTGTTAAAAATCAGTTCACTATACATGCATGGGTTTATTTTCATGCCTCTGTTCTTTTCCATTAGTATATGTGTTTGTTTTTATGACAGTACCATACTGTTTGATTATGATAGCTTTTTTAGTAGATTTTGAAATAAGGTAGTATGACACCCTTGACTTTGTTCTTTTTGTTCAATATGGCTTCTGTTGTTTGGAGTTTTTTGTGATTCTATATGAATTTTAGGATTGATTTTTCTATTTCTGTGGAAAATGTCATTGAATTTTGCTAGGGAGTGTATTGGACCTGTAGATAACTTTGGTTATCATGGACATGTTAACAATGTTAATTCTTATGGTCCATATACATTCTTCGGTTTCTTTTATCAATGTTTTATAGTTTCAGTGTACAAATCTTTCATCTTCTTGGTTAAATTTATTCCTGAGTGGCCCAACTATGTGGCACAAACAGTAGGGGTGCTGCTACATGATGTTGGAGACCATGTGGAAAGGCTTTACATTTGTATCTTGGACCTATTTCAGCACACTGGGCATTCGTGTGATCCTGGCTGGCTATAGGGTTTAGGGGAGGAGAATAGCATGAAAACTATCAGGGGTGCATCTCTCTGTATTGTCCTCTCTCTTGAGAAATTTAAATATTTTTATTTCTAATTATGTTATATATTTGTTTGTTTTGCTATCGTAAACAAAATTGTCATGGTAAATTTAAATATTTTTATTTCTAATTATGTTATATATTTGTTTGTTTTGCTATCGTAAACAAAATTGTCATGGTTTCTTTTTCAGATAGTTTACTGTTAGCATTTCTACTGCTTTTTGTAGTTGATTTTGTATCCTGCAACTTTACTAAATTTTTTGATTCCTTTATCATTATACAATGACCTTCTTTATCTTGTTTTACAGTTTTTGACCTAATATCTATTTTATTTTATATAAGTATAGTACCCTGCTCTCTTGTGGCTTCCATTTGCATGGAATATCTTTTTACATCTTTTCACTTGCAATCTATGTGTATCGTAGAGTGAAGTTAATTTCTGGTAGGCTGTATATAGTTGGGTCTTATCTTTTTTTTTAATCCATTTAGCCGCTCTTTTGATTGGACAATTTAATCCTTTTACATCCGAGGTCATCATTAATAGATAAGTCCTTACTAATACCATTTTATTAATTGTCTGGTTGTCTTGTGGATCTTTGGTACTTTTCTGGCTCTCTTGCTATCTTTCTTTGTTATTAGGTGATTTTTCTCTGATGCAATGTTTTCAGTCTTTACTCTTTTATATCTTTTTAGTAGCTAGTATTTTTGTTTTGTTGTTACATGAGGCTTACTTAAAATATCTTATAGTTATAATAGGCTATTTTAAGCTGGCATAACTTTGCATAGGAAAAAACTACACTTTAATTCCACCCTTCTCATTTTATGTTTTCAATGTCATAACTTACATTTTTTTATGTTGGGTATCACTTAACAAATTTTATAACTATTATTATTTTAATAGTTTTGTCTTTTAAACTTCATGCTAAAAATATTAGCGATTCACACACTGCCATTACAGTATTAGAATATTGTGAATGTGACTGCACTTACTTTGACCAGTGAGTTCCATACCTTTATATGTTCTCATGAAACCATGATCCCTGGGTCAGCCTGAAAATAACCCAGGAAAATGCATAGGCACCCGGGATCTGAGGACCTGGAGGGCTGGGGAGAGGGGATGGCCATGTGACAAGGTCTTACAGAGCGTGATCTCTTGTGCGCATGCATGCACATGCACTATCAGTAAAAAGAAGAATCCTCCTGTGCCATAAATGTAGAACTAGGATGGATCCTGGGATCTTGGGCACACACAAACACACATGCATCTGGCATGATTTTCAACCACCAGGTCCAGGACACAAACCACAGTTGACCAAGTGGGAGTCCAGCAACATAACTACTATACCATCTGCTGACCCCTACATATGTGGTATTTTTATCCTTGACTAATACCATATTAGAGTTACTAGCTCAGAACCAGCACACATCACATGGTTACATCACTGGACTCCCATGTGGTTGACTATCGTTCGAGTATCAGACCTAGAGGCTTTAAACTCATGTAGGCATGTATGCATGTGTGCCTAATATATCCCAAGAGGAGAAGGGATTGCAGTGTAGCCATCCCTCCTAGGGGGTGATTTCTCTCTTTCTCTCTCTCTCTCTGGCAATTGCAAACAAAATTTCTAAAAAAAAATAAAAGAGGAAGAAAAAGAGAGTCACTAGCTCACTTGCATCTGTTGTTTAATTAAATGCCAGGTCCTTTAGAAATTAGTTTCATCATATTTCATCTGTCTAAGATAGGCTGTTTATGATATTAGTTATTAGTATTCTTTGTAATGATTTTTTTTTCTCCACAGAATTATATTAGAGTTGTAGAGGTTTGGTGGGATGAATATAAAGACTACTTCTATGCTAGTCGTCCTGAATCAAAGGCGCTACCCTATGGAGATATATCTGAGCTGAAAAAATTTAGAGAAGATCACAACTGCAAAAGTTTCAAGTGGTTTATGGAAGAAATAGCTTATGATATCACCTCACACTACCCTTTGCCACCCAGAAATATTGACTGGGGAGAAGTAAGTATCAGCTGAAATTCAGATCCCAAAGTGTGTGTGTTTGGAATGGTAGTCTGGAAGAAGACAGAGAAATGGAAATGTGTGTGTGAAAGACAATTCTTGGGAAAAGTTTGGGTAAAGTCCAGTAACACCTCCCACCTTCCCAGTAGACCACCACAGTTGCCCTACCACCTGGCCACCATGCTGTCCACTGCCAGTCTTTGCCTGTGTGGTTTTCCAGCCTGAACCACTAACCTTTTTATCTTTTACTAATATTCTGTCTTTCTTTCCCT